AGTGCCTCTTTGCTTGACATCATGGGAAAATGAAAAGAAATCTCAGAAAAAAAATTGTAGACCTCCACAAGTCTGGTTCATCCTTTCCAAATGTCTGAAGGTACCACGTTCATCTGTACAAACAATAGTACGCAAGTATAAACACCATGGGACCACGCAGCCGTCATACCGCTCAGGAAGGAGACGCGTTCTGTCTCCTAGAGATGAACGTACTTTGGTGCGAAAAGTGCAAATCAATCCCAGAACAACAGCAAAGGACCTTGTGAAGATGCTGGAGGAAACAGGTACAAAAGTATCTATATCCACAGTAAAACGAGTCCTATATCGACATAACCTGAAAGGCCGCTCAGCAAGGAAGAAGCCACTGCTCCAAAACCGCCATAAAAAAGCCAGACTATGGTTTGCAACTGCACATGGGGACAAAGATCGTACTTTTTGGAGAAATGTACTCTGGTCTGATGAAACAAAAATAGAACTGTTTGGCCATAATGACCATCGTTATGTTTGGAGGAAAAAGGGGTTGCTTGCAAGCCGAAGAACACCATCCCAACCGTGAAGCACGGAGGTGGCAGCATCATGCTGTGGGGGTGCTTTGCTGCAGGAGGGACTGGTGCACTTCACAAAATAGATGGCATCATGAGGAAGGAAAATTATGTGGATATATTGAAGCAACATCTCAAGACATCAGTCAAGAAGTTAAAGCTTGGTCGCAAATGGGTCTTCCAAATGGATAATGACCCCAAGCATACTTCCAAAGTTGTGGCAAAATGGCTTAAGGACATCAAAGTCAAGGTATTGGAGTGGCCATCACAAAGCCCTGACCTCAATCCTATAGAAAATGTGTGGGCAGAACTGAAAAAGCGTGTGTGAGCAAGGAGGCCTACAAACCTGACTCAGTTACACCAGCTCTGTCAGGAGGAATGGGCCAACATTCACCCAACTTATTGTGGGAAGCTTGTGGAAGGCTACCCGAAACTTTTGACCCAAGTTAAACAATTTAAAGGCAATGCTACCAAATACTAATTGAGTGTATGTAAACTTCTGACTGACTGGGAATGTGATGAAAGAAATAAAAGCTGAAATAAATCATTCTCTCTACTATTATTCTGACATTTCACATTCTTAAAATAAAGTGGTGATCCTAACTGACCTAAGACAGGGCATTTTTACTAGGATTAAATGTCAGGAATTGTGAAAAACTGAGTTTAAATGTATTTGGCTAAGGTGTATGTAAACTTCCGACTTCAACTGTACATAGCGATGAGGCTAATGAGGTTGGCTGGGGTATATGGTGGGAGGGGCAGCATACACTCAGTCATGGGACTAATTTCAGTGCTGGGGTGGCAATTTTGTTTTCCTCAGGCTTAGGGGTGACTGTGGTATCTACACTACCGTTCAAAAGTTTGGGGTCACTTAGAAATGTCCATGTTTTCGAAAGAAAAGCATTTTTTTCGTCCATTAAAATAACATCAAATTGATCAGAAATACAGTGTAGACATTGTTAATGTTGTAAATGGCTATTGTAGCTGAAAACGGCTGATTTTTAATGGATATCTACATAGGCGTACAGAGGCCCATTATCAGCAACCATCAGTCATGTTTTCCAATGGCACGTTGTGTTTGCCAAATCAAGTTTATCATTTTAAAAGGCTAATTGATCATTAGAAAACCCTTTTGCAATTATGTTAGCACAGCTGAAAACTGTTGCGCTGATTAAAGAAACAATAAAACTGTCCTTCTTGAGACTAGTTGAGTATCTGGAGCATCAGCAATTGTGGGTTTGATTACAGGCTCAAAATGGCCTGAAACTCGTCAGTCTATTCTTGTTCTGAGAAATGAAGGCTATTCCATGCGAGAAATTACCAAGAAACTGAAGATCTCGTATAACGCTGTGTACTACTCCCTTCACAGAACAGCGCAAACTGGCTCTAACCAGAATAGAAAGAGGAGTGGGAGGCCCCGGTGCACAACTGAGCAAGAGGACAAATACATTAGAGTGTCTAGTTTGAGAATCAGACGCCTCACAGGTCCTCAACTGGCAGCTTCATTAAATAGTACCCACAAAACTCCACTCTCAACGTCAACAGTGAAGAGGCGACTCCGGGATGCTGACCTTCTAGGCAGAGTTGCAAAGAAAAAGCCATATCTCAGACTGCCCATCTTTAATCTTTTCTTTTTATTGGCCAGTCTGAGATATGGCTTTTTCTTTGCAACTCTGCCTAGAAGGTCAGCATCCCGGAGTCGCCTCTTCACAATAAAGCCCCTTGAATTGAATTGAGAAGAGAGAGAGCTATAGAGAGAGAGAGAGATAGATAGATAGATAGATAGATAGATAGATAGATAGATAGATAGATAGATAGATAGATAGATAGATAGATAGATAGATAGATAGATAGATAGATAGATAGATAGATAGATAGATAGATAGATAGATAGATAGATACCACAGTGTGCCATCACAGCAGCAAAATATTTGCGACCTGTTGCCACATGAAAAGGGCAACCAGTGAAGAACAAACACCCTTGTAAATACAACCCATATTTCTGTTTTTTTTATTTTCCCTTCTGTATTTTAACTATTTGCACAGCGTTATAACACTGTATATAGCCATAATAGGAGATTTTAAATGTCTCTATTCCTTTGAAACTTTTGTGAGTGTAATGTCTACTGTTAATTTCTGATTGTTTATTTGACTTTTGTTTAAAATCTATTTCACTTGCTTTGGCAATGTAAAAATATGTTTCCCATGCCAATAAAGCCGTTTGAATTAAATTGAATTGAGAGAGCGAGTTAGAGAGCGAGTTAGAGATAGAGAGAGAGAGAAAGAGAGAGAGAACGCGAGAGAGAGAGAGAGAGAGCTAGAGAGAGAGCTAGAAAGAGAGAGCTAAATTGAAATTGAATTGAATTGAGAGAGCTAGAGAGCAAGAGAGAGAGAGAGGTAGAGAGAGAGAGGTAGAGAGAGAGAGGTAGAGAGGTAGAGAGAGAAAGAATGATCGAGATCGATAGAGGGAGAGGGAAAGAGATAATCATTGTGGAATGTTGGAGAACAAGCATCCAATCTGTTTCTGATTGTCCTATTATTTGTTCCGTGGGATTCAAAGAGAGCAGGACCATATGCTGGACTGTCTGCGGTGTCATGGAGGAAAACACACACTGACACTCCAGCCATCACCGAGAGGAGGGCATGTCTTAGCTAATCATAGCAGAGTCAAAACCTTGTGTGGCCTCTGTTAATCTTTCTCTGTTAATCAGTACCCAAACATTTTGCCTTCCATCTGTCCGTCCATCCGTCCATCCATTATTCTGTCTGTCTGTCCGTCACATTGCTGGTCTTACCACTGTAATCAGCCCTGTCTTCCGTCCTGTCTTCTGCAGCCCTGTGTCCTTGTCCCCAGGTCTTACCCATGACGCTGTCCGTGCCGTTGGTGGTGGCAGTGCAGGAGGCCGTACTGTACTGATTGGAGCCACTGCTACGATGGAAACTGGACATGGGAGGAAGACTGGGGTTGATGTCTGCCGAGGAGTGTGACGGGTAGCTCTGTAGAGATGGAGAGAAACAACCCTCAGACGGAACATCTAACCCTTTACAACCCTCAGACTGAACATCTAACCCATTAGAACCCCCAGACTGAACATCTAACCCTTTACAACCCTCAGACTGAACATCTAACCCTTTACAACCCTCAGACTGAACATCTAACCCTTTAGAACCCCCAGACTGAACATCTAACCCTTTACAACCCTCAGACTGAACATCTAACCCATTAGAACCCCCAGACTGAACATCTAACCCTTTAGAACCCCCAGACTGAACATCTAACCCTTTAGAACCCCCAGACTGAACATCTAACCATTTAGAACCATCAGACTGACCATCTAACCTATTAGAACCATCAGACTGACCATCTAACCCATTAGAACCCTCAGACTGAACATCTTAACCCATTAGAACCCTTAGACTGACCATCTAACCCATTAGAACCCTCAGACTGAACATCTAACCCTTTACAATCCTCAGACTGAACATCTAACCCTTTAGAACATCAGACTGAACATCTAACCCATTAGAACCCTCAGACTGAACATCTAACCCATTAGAACCCTCAGACTGAACATCTATCCCATTAGAACCCTCAGACTGAACATCTAACCCTTTACAACCCTCATACTGAACATCTAACCCTTTAGAACATCAGACTGAACATCTAACCCATTAGAACCCTCAGACTGAACATCTATCCCATTAGAACCCTCAGACTGAACATCTATCCCATTAGAACCCTCAGACTGAACATCTAACCCTTTACAACCCTCATACTGAACATCTAACCCTTTAGAACATCAGACTGAACATCTAACCCATTAGAACCCTCAGACTGAACATCTAACCCTTTAGAACATCAGACTGAACATCTAACCCATTAGAACCCTCAGACTGAACATCTAACCCTTTACAACCCTCATGCTGAAATTTTAACCCTTTACAACCCTCAGACAGAACATCTATCCCATTAGAACCCTCAGACTGAACATCTATCCCATTAGAACCCTCAGACTGAACATCTAACCCTTTACAATCCTCAGACTGAACATATATCCCATTAGAACCCTCAGACAGAACATCTATCCCATTAGAACCCTCAGACTGAACATCTAACCCTTTACAACCCTCAGACTGAACATCTAACCCTTTAGAACCCTCAGACTGAACATCTAACCCTTTAGAACACTCAGACTAAACATCTAACCCTTTAGAACACTCAGACTGAACATCTAACCGTTTAGAACGCTCAGACTGACCATCTAACCCTTTAGAACCATCATACTGACCATCTAACCCTTTAGAACCCTGAGACTGAACATCTAACCCATTAGAACCCTCAGACTGCCCATCTAACCCATTAGAACCATCAGACTGACCATCTAACCCATTAGAACCCTCAGACTGACCATCTAACCCTTTAGAACCCTGAGACTGAACATCTAACCCATTAGAACCCTCAGACTGCCCATCTAACCCATTAGAACCCTCAGACTGACCATCTAACCCTTTAGAACCCTGAGACTGAACATCTAACCCATTAGAACCCTCAGACTGCCCATCTAACCCATTAGAACCCTCAGACTGACCATCTAACCCATTAGAACCCTCAGACTGCCCATCTAACCCATTAGAACCCTCAGACTGACCATCTAACCCATTAGAACCCTCAGACTGACCATCTAACCCATTAGAACCCTCAGACTGACCATCTAACCCATTAGAACCCTCAGACTGACCATCTAACCCATTAGAACCCTCAGACTGACCATCTAACCCATTAGAACCCTCAGACTGACCATCTAACCCTTTAGAACCCTGAGACTGAACATCTAACCCATTAGAACCTAGAGCAGTGAAAATAAATAAGAGTGAGATGGTATGGAGGCATACCAAGGCTAAGGAATGATCAACTGATGGAAAGAGACAAGGAGACATAGAAAGTGACTGAAAGACAGAAAGAAGTAGGGGGAGGAATGGAGCGAGGAGATCAGAATGAGAAGAGGGAAGTGGAGAGGAGGTGGAGAGTAGACTAGAAGTGAAGGAGATAAGGAAAGGAAAGGAGGAGAGGATACTCACCAGCCGGTCATGTGGGTGGGTGCCACAATAGCTGCTGCTCTGGGGGCCGTGGGAGGAGTTACCCAGCATGCCGCTGTAACCAGGCTGGTTCATACTGCTGGAGGAGCTCCATGGGTCAGCACTGTGGTGACCGTCTACAGGGGGGGAGAGAGGGGCGCATGAGGGAACCCTCCTGGAGCATACACTTACGATCACAACATACACCCTACTAACTGGATACACAATGTTCACAACATACACCCTACTAACTGGATACACAATGTTCACAACATACACCCTGCTAACTGGATACACAATGCTCACAACATACACCCTGCTAACTGGATACACAATGTTCACAACATACACCCTGCTAACTGGATACACAATGTAGACAACATATACCCTGCTAACTGGATACACAATGTTCACAACATACACCCTGCTAACTGGATACACAATGTACACAACATACACCCTGCTAACTGGATACACAATGTTCACAACATACACCCTGCTAACTGGATACACAATGTTCACAACATACACCCTGCTAACTGGATACACAATGTTCACAACATACACCCTGCTAACTGGATACACAATGTTCACAACATACACCCTGCTAACTGGATACACAATGTTCACAACAGACACCCTGCTAACTGGATACATAATGTTCACAACAGACACCCTGCTAACTGGATACACAATGTTCACAACATACACCCTGCTAACTGGATACACAATGTTCACAACATACACCCTGCTAACTGGATACACAATGTTCACAACATACACCCTGCTAACTGGATACACAATGTTCACAACATACACCCTGCTAACTGGATACACAACGTTCACAACAGACACCCTGCTAACTGGATACACAATGTTCACAACATACACCCTGCTAACTGGATACACAATGCTCACAACATACACCCTGCTAACTGGATACACAATGTTCACAACATACACCCTGCTAACTGGATACACAATGCTCACAACAGACACCCTGCTAACTGGATACACAATGTTCACAACATACACCCTGCTAACGATACACAATGCTCACAACATACACCCTGCTAACAGGATACACAATGTTCACAACATACACCCTGCTAACGATACACAATGCTCACAACATACACCCTGCTAACTGGATACACAATGTTCACAACATACACCCTGCTAACGATACACAATGCTCACAACATACACCCTGCTAACTGAATACAAAAAGATCACAACAGACACCCTGCTAACTGAATACACAATGCTCACAACAGACAAGGGCAAGCCAAGTTAGATGTGTGAAGATAAATATTAAATGATATTTGAACAGTACCATTGGTGTGTGTCTATCTTTTGAACTGTCTCCATCTATCTATGTCACGTGATGCCTCCCTATCAAGCCCCTGGCCATGTCACCTGTACTGTTACTATCTGTCTCTGCTGACCATGACCCCTGGCTCTCTGAGGAAGATACTACTTCCATTACCCTGTCCCCGTCTCCATCCTCCTCTGTGCATGAAACCTCAAGCTGCCTGCCTACCCTGTGGCTGAGATCGCTAACCCGCCCTAATGCATGGCTTCTGAGCCCTTACCCACTCTAACCCACTGCTCTGTGATTAGTAAGGCAGAGTAGCAGCCAGTCCGGGCCAGACCAGAGGGCTGTGATGTAACCAGCAGCAAACACCAGCCCTCCAATTACAGGGAAACCTCATCTACTCATCTAACTTGGCTGGCTTACTTCCTCTATCAATCCCAGCCAAAGCACTGTCTTTTCTCTATGTATCTATCAATCCCAGCCAAAGCACTGTCTTTTCTCTATGTATCTATCAATCCCAGCCAAAGCACTGTCTTTTCTCTATGTATCTATCAATCCCAGCCA